GTATGTTCATTCATTTAAAGTAATTCAAATATGATCTGAATCCGTATTATTTAAATCCGTAACAAAACGATACGCAGGCGGACATCGACGGAAACGGAATGCTGAGCCCCGAAGAGTTCGTAATAATGATAGTTCACCTGAAACGAATCGACGGCAACGATGAGCTTCTGTCTCAAGCCTTTACTGTGTTCGACAAGAACCAAAGTGGTTACATCGAAGTGGAAGAGCTGCAAGAAGCTTTAGGGCACGACAATCTTCATCAACAGCTTATCAAAGACATCATGAACGATGTCGATAAAGACAAGGTATTGTTTTCAATGCATTGCCCAACATTAGGTTATTATTTTTTTAGTATAAGTATTTGATCTGTTAATCCAACGTTAAGTTAATATTAAAATCTGATGTAATTTGAAAACGTTAATATTTGTAGGATGGACGAATCAGTTACGAGGAGTTCAAGGAAATGATGGTAACAGGGATGGACTGGAAAATGGCTTCTCGACAATATTCAAGAGCTATGCTAAATGCTGTCAGCATGAAAATATTAAGGCAATCTGACCAATTAAAATGATATATATGCATGCATGCATGTATATGGAAACTCAATTCACTATTATTTTTTATTATTTTAATTTTTCCCACTAGATGAAACAGGGTTTTGTATATTTTTAATTCGTTTAAATTTTACAAATGTCTAATTCAAAAATAATTTTCTAAAGCATATCACAATTTATTTAAGTATAGATATAAAGTATTTTTTCCATGTTGGCACCTAAAATATTCACCTTTGATCATTTATGTATTTTAAATATTTTTTTATCAAAATAGACACTTAAAATATACCACATTTTTTGTTTATGCACCTAAAGTATTTCTTAATCAATGGCATGTGTCAGTTTTTAGGTGCCTAGATGAAAATAAGGTATTCTTTAAGTACCCACTTTAACAAAAAAAATAATTGAAGTGTCTATATGAAAAAAATTAATATTTTAGATACCTATTTTAAAGAAAAAAATTAGGTACTTGGATAAAAAAAAATTAGTATATTTTAGATATCTATTTTTGAAATAATTTTTTTTATAAAAGAAGTCTTAAAGTATACCAGATACCACTAAACTTTAGTTTTTGTGTTGAATTCGTCACTTAAATATAAATTGATACTATTATTGCGCTAAAGTTTAGTTTTTTTCACTCATTTTTAGCCATCAACGAAAATCATCACTCTTTGACATCTTTTGTGATCACCCTAGATATTGATAAACTAGTTTTATATTCCTTTACTACTTTATTGGTTTAATTTTTTCTAATTTTTTTTAAACTTACAAGATAAAAATCAACTATTTTAAAAGGGTTTGGGACTTTCTCTCGGATTTGAGGGATTTATAGGTATTCGCTCAAAATCAAACGGTTAAAAATAGTAATTTGAGAAGACAAACAATAAACCTTAAACTAGCCTCATCGAACAATCATCAGAGGATATTAGAGTAGTAAGTAAAAATTTTAGATAAATATTAAGTAGATTTCATAGAAAAACAATCAAACAATTCAATCAGAAGTAAAACGATTGGAGTTCCTGTGTATTTATGAAACTACAAGAGAGGGTTGGTTGTTGGAGAAATGGAAAGGAGTAAAGCTTTGCATGAAGATCTTAAGCATCCATTTATTGTTGGCTCCCGGTGAGAGCATATATGAGTTGTGTCCTACCTGGGAAAGATTGTTCGTGAAGTGGGTTTGCATTGGTTCCATTTGAGTTGTATTTTTTACTTGTGGGTTGTTCGGATGTTTAGGGGTTTTTCAGATAGGTTTATGGTGTTGGTTTTTGTTCTATGTTATGTTACTGCTTTATGCAATCTCATACTATCAATTAATAAAATTTACCTGAGAACACATGAAGTGGATAAGGTCTTTAAACCTTTAACCTCCACATGTGATCTCATGTGGCTCCTGCTGAGCTCCTCAACCAATCTCCACTCCACCATTAACTTTTGTTTGTTTTAATTTGCAAACCCAAATTTATAGAATTCCAAAATAATATTTAAAATTCCAAATTCACTTTTTGCCTTTGGAAATGTACTGCACTGAACAGCAGCCTACTGAAACGAGTTCAACCCTCTTCTTTTGTGCTCCAAAATTCCACCTTTCTAAAGTTTACTATTCCAATCGTGAATGTCAAATTCTACACTTTACCTTCCGATTAAATGAAAGTCTCATACATGTACTCAATGGCCGATGCTTATATATATATATATATATATATAGGGGTGGGTGTCCACTCTTAAATCTGAATTTTCACGGTTAGTTATTTATTTTATTAATGGTATCCACATGAAATTTTATTTGTTTTCACCCCATTTAATTTTTTTTTTTTGATATTAACATATATATGTCCATCCTAAAAAATATTTCTGGATCCGCCACTACATGTAATATTAAATAATGGTGAAACATGTCGTTATCTTATTTTTTTTATACAAATAGAACCGCTAATTTTATTAAAAGGGGAACGTATTTAAAATTATAATAAAATTCGTAAACTAAATATATAATTAGATCAGTTTTCCATTACCACAAAATAACTATCTTATTTATCACAACATAACATATTTAATTTTTGGACTTCAGAAAAAAAAACTTCAATTACATCACTATTTACACCTTGATGAGATATTCGTTATTTTTAGTTGAGAAAAAAAAATTACTTTCCAAGATAAACTGGTTTTAAATATAATTAAATAGTTTTATAAAAATATTAATTAAAATATTTTATTATAACATAGTACAACTTAATTTTTTTTATATAAAAATAAAGTATAGTAAAGCTGTTTTTGGAAATATGAATTGAGAAGAACAATGGAACTTCAATTAAACCCTTATGAAAGAAAAATGCACTTAAATGAATCCTGCTATTAATAGGGGGGGAAAACATTGTTAACAATTAACGGAGGATAACAAAAGGGCCGATTTTTTTTATTTGGTTCATAAATTTAATTGATTTTTTTTAATTTATTAATTCATGTACTTATTAATTAAGCATATAGTTTCTTATTAATGTTAATATAAAAAAAATATAAATCACATAATAAATTACTTGTAAATATGAAAAACTCTACAATGAAGATTGCACACCGAAACACACCACAAATACAGCATACCGAGATGAATCACTAATTTTTTAATGTATTTTAAATGTATGAGGACCTAAAACAAAATTTTCCCTCTTTTGAATATAAATCTAGTTTGAAACATGTTTCTCTCCCGTCAATGGCTCACTTTCTTTCTTCTTTCAAGCTACTCTTTTCGATGTCTTTGTCTCCATATCCAGGTAACAAAGTATTTTTTTATATTTTTTTATATTATGTTTTATGGTTATTGTTAATGATTTCGTGTTTTGTTTTAAAGGAGTGATTGAGCCGCTACCGAGGACAGTGACAGCGAGCTTTGGCCGGCCAAGAACGGTAGGGTAAGTTGAAGGAAGAGATGTGATGAAAAGGTTGGTGTCGGAGATGGAGGTATCTTCTGCTTGGGATGAAGAGGATAGACAGTACGACGACGAGGATGAAGTGATGATGAAACCGCCGAAAATGCCACCCATTTGATCTTTTCTTTCATCGCAGATAGTGCGTCGACGGCAGCGGTGGAAGTCTTTGGTTTGCCTTCTCTTTGAGATTCAACTCCTCTCAGAGTGCAATCCTCGAACCCGGTCGAGATTCTCTCGAAGAAATAACCTGAGAAGCTCCGGCTTCCGCTGTATACGGACTTGAATATCGAACGACGAATCAGCCAAGGGTATAGCTTCAATAGTGAGACTTATCATCCTCTCTCAATACAATCCCTGATTTTCTCGATGAACTAAAATTTGTCCTTTGGCGGCTTCACCATAGAACCAGAAGTGAGAAGACGAAGCTGCAACTAATATTGAAACTGAGTTCATATTCAAAAAAGGGAATACTATACTTGTCCCCATACTTTTAAAATATTTTAAAATAAATTAATGATGAATTCCGATCTTTTGCATTAATGGTGTGTTTTAATGTACTAGTGGTATATTTTGATATACAACGTTCGCTATAAACTCGTCTTACAAAAATAATATATTTTTGGCAGAAGTAAATACAATATTTATGATTTTTTTCTCAATTTATTGGATGTTGAACTAAAGAAAAAGCTTAAAGATAATTGTCTATATTATTTATTCGAAGTTAATTTATTAGAGGAATCATGTTTATAATATATTTTTTCAAAATAATTGATTCGGAGATTTTTTTTTTTTTAAAGATGACCATCTATATTATCTTTAAACTTTCAACAATAATGACTTTATCCTTTACAACAAACCTACAAAACTTCATACACCAATAAAATTAATCAAATTTAGATAAAACGAGTAATTATCGACTTGAAAAAAATTATTTTATAATTGTGAACTCGTCAAACCCTTACAAGAAGGTCCAGTAAAAGAACTCGTATCTTTAGTTTAGGCATGTATAAATCTATAATATAAACTTCCACTGAACATATCTTGCTCAATAGATCAATAATGGGAGGGTCAATAAAAGAACTCATATTTTCAGTTTAAGCATGTACAATTTTATAATATAAACTTCCACTGAATACATTATTCTTAAAGATAATTTGTTGGAGGATAACCCTTTGATGGATCTCTGCAATTGAAAGGAATAATCTACCAATAGATCGAACATCTGTTATTTATTGGACAAATCCTTTGGACGAACTGAAAGTCGAAAAGAAGAAAATAGAATTTTTGAGCATGGCTAAATAATCAAGTAAAGCATCTTTTGCCATGGCACAATGCACAGGGCTTGTACAAAAATAAGTGTTAACATTTATGTTCGATATAAACTCCATGAAAATATTCTCATCAAAAGTATCCATGTTCGAACATATTCGGTCACAAATACCGAGGATACCATACTCCAAACATATGCAAAAACTTTAAAAGTTTTGAGATAATCAGTGTAAGACATATATGTATTTGCACTCACTCCCCAGTCCAAGTAACAAAAGCTTACTAAAAAAACTAGGATATAAGTTATTCACACATAGCCAACTATCTATAAATGGATCAAGTTTTAGGTATCGGAAATGTCTTATGAGAGCAAACCATGGTAGAAAAAATCCAACACCTGGCTGTCCCTAATTATTTGCTGTCACTGCTACCACCATACTGTGTAGAATTTCCATTCCAGAATGGATTCCTATCGGAGAAACCATCATCATCTTCATCGCGTTTTAGAGTGTGAATATTGCTGCCATATCGAGTGGTCACAGGTTGCCTGTTCCTGCTGTCATCGTTGGCTGTTGAAGTGCTTCTATTTCTTCCAGACAAGTTATTCTGCAGTGTAGGATTCGGACCTATAATTGCAACCAAGCCAGACAAATGAGAGAGACTTTTCCAAGGCAATTTTTCCTGTATGGCCCTAACTGAATTAACAGATCATAACCAAACGGAAAGAAAAAACTGCATACAAGAAAAATTAAACAGACAATACTGTTTCCAAAATTCAGGAAACACTATAACGATGATTTTCTAATATTTCACTACTAATTTGTAGCAGATCACGATCCGAGTTTTGGATCATTAATGATTTCTGACACTGTTGTTCTGAATCTTTTTTTTCTGGAGTACCCATAGGACGTCTATTCAGACATGGATATAGAAAATATGACCCACCAAGGATCCTCCTAATACATGAAAATATTAAACATACCCATGTCGTATACATATCCATAGCTGACCTGAACCCATGTAACATAGGATACAGATGTACAATTACTAAGATGTGTAAAAGTAAGATTACTTGAGGATGTTTTTGTTAAATAAGTTAGAAACTACCTTCTTGAGAATTGAGACTATATTAAGATTCTCGGAATCCTAATTAATATAAGTGTCTACAGATTGACTTAAAGGGGGAAAAGAGCAATATTCAAGTATATTACCTTCAATTATAGGTGGCATTCTATTTTCTAATCCTCATTCTACTAACCCCTATCTTCTAAGTTAATCTACTGTATATACGGGATTACTCTCTCTCTCTTGCTCTCTCTCCATATGCAAAACATGTTTATGCGATTATGTATAGTGACAAAGACATGCATACTTCACCTAAATTAGTTTAGAAGATATTAAATAGGTCATAGAATAAACATTTTAACTCAAGGTCTTCAGGCCAGCAGAACAAAGAAATTGTCTTTAACAGCAGACTCACTGTATTCCCAGATGCCACTTTGAGATTCCTGTCCAGTAGTTGATGAGCTGGCACCACCACCGAGATATGAAAGAGGATTTACATAAGACAAAATGCTTCTGATGTAAGCAAAATATCCCCCATTGCTTCCTGGAGAAGCTTCAGTAGCTGTCAAATTTCTATTGTCATCAGATGATCTCTGCCCTTGGAAACCAGTGGTTCTCCTATGCGGAACCACTATTAGCGCTTGCCTGTTAACAAGACCCAAGTCCAACAAAGATTTACTCAAATCTGCAGGAAAGAAGAAAGAAATACTGGTGAATGGCAGACATCTCAACAGTAACGTTTGCATAAGCATAATTTAAGGACATGGAACATTCCTCACATGTGAAGGTAATACAATGTAACAACATTTCAGCCAAATTTAAAACATCTTCGATGCAAAGAGATTAACAAAAGTTTATCAGCAATAGTAAATACCAATATGTGATCACCATAGAATAGTGTTCACAATAAGAAAAAAAGGGATCATTCCTCGTAGTAATGAAACAATGTAACCTTCAAGTGCCAAAAAGAATTACATTCACTGTCATCTAACATCCTACAATCTGCCCAGATATTCAATAATACCAATTTGCAACATTCTTCTAAATACCAGCTTGAGGATGGGCAAATTTCAGCTAAAGCAAATCAATACCTGAACTGAGACAAAACTAAACAAGCCGGCCACACTGATTTTTAAGATGTACACTGCAAGCACATAACATACCTTGATCGTCAAATATCTTGCGAGGATAAGGAATGGCAAAATCATAGGATCCCAGGCCACTTGATTGGTTTCTATCCACATAGTCTTTAATCATACTCAGAGTGTATGTCACAGGAAATTTCTCCTGTAGGCTACTACTGTCAGGTAATCGGATATTTAAATGAACATCAGTTTGTAGGTTTGCAGTTGTAGTGTTTTCCAATGCACCATCTATGCCTTTATCCTTTCCACGTTGCATAGCTTTCTCTGCTTCTGCAGCAATCACTGATGAACTTGCACAGTGACAACTAGACTGATGATCAATGCCCTTTGCTGGGATGAGATGATCATCTTCAGGATGAGAGGATGCATTCTTAGATGCATGACCTGCTGGGCTTGAAGTGAGAGAACTAACAACTGTTCTCGTTTCTTCATTGGTAATATCACATTGTTTATCCACAATATTAGCCAAGTTGTCAGAGCTAAATGATTCAGAACTACTATTTTCAACCAACTCCGGATTTTTCTCCTGCCATGTCAGGACAAAAAATATTATATCAAGCAAAGTTTTTAAACTACCAAGGTACTTCCCCTTCTTCCTGGTGAAGAGCACCACAACCTGGATTGAAGTCCAAGTTCCCTCCTTCACCCAGAAATGATAAAACAAAAACTAAAAAGCACTTACTCAAAACAGCCAGCAATTGAAATTACCTGAACTGCATTTCCACTATCTCTGTTTTCCTCTATCACCCCAGAAGTATCAGTTAGGTCAGACTCCAAGTTCCGGTCAACATCGTCCATTGTGGTTGTTGGAACATAAGCACTTGAAGAACTTCCTTGCTCAGACTGGCTAACGGTAGATGCCCCAGAACTGGATGATTCATATTTCTTTGAAGCAAGTGCAGCACTAAGGACAGCTGCAGTTGTTTCCTGCAGTTTTGACCAGAAAGCTAAGAATGCTAAGAAACCCAAAATTAAAAACTTGATTGTAGTAAATAAGCATTGAGCATCTTTTCCCAAAGTGGATAATAGTCCTAAGCTCAATCATCACTAGCAAACCTGGATGTGAAGACTCAACCATGCCTTCTCTAAACTGGAAGCCAATACTTCTGCACTGAAAAATCCCTCTGGAAGTTCCACAAAAGAAAAATAATTTATTTAGAACATCTTTCCATAGATATTACATGCTTGCTCAAAATAGAAAAATATTTTACTTAGAACACCTTTCCATAAATATTACATGCTTGCTCAAAAATATAGAGAAAAGGTTTTACATAAGAAGAAAATATTAATACCACTTTGCCAAACTTGTACACCATTATATCCAATTGCTGTTATGCATGGGATAGATTTCTGCGGGTCTGTATAATGTTGATGTAAGGATTTATTCTCTCACTAAAACTGGTAACAGATATGTGCAATAGGAAACAAGAACAATCAACGTTAACAAGTCTAACACTATAAGTGGTCATTGAAATGGTGGACTAGCGAACTCAGCCTGATACCCAAACACAGATACGGGTTCTATCTACAAATGGAAGAAGAATCACGGTACCCCCTGCTTTACGAGTGGCAAGGTGTGTACTGTATTAGTATGGAAAGTGCAGTGACAAGAAGTCCAGAAAGAAAAGAGAATTAAAAAAAAAACCATCATGACATAAGAAAGATACATGGAAATAGTTAAACGAAAGCTTTCTTATACCTTTTCCCATCCACCACTTTTAATCTTCTAACTGTTCTTGTCTAACAAAACATGGAATAAGAAAGCCAACATATCTATAACAATTATTACGCATTGCCACTAGATATTAGTCAGTATTAAACGAGGTAGGTTTTCAACAACGTATAAATGTAAATAGGGAAGAGTTTAAGACCAGTTCAAATCCAAATATATAATTCACAGCTTGATGCAAAATTATCACAGAAATTCCATTGCTTGGGAAGATTGAAAAATGAGGGGGAAAAAGTACACTGTTTTACCATTATAATCACTGTAAGTTAAAGATAAAAAAAATGATTAGTCATCTTGTAAATATACACATTAACTCACTCCGCTCTCATTTTCTGTCATCCTTTTTGTCCAATTTGAAGTGATTTATTTTTGTTTAATAGATGAGGAAAACAATACTCTTTCCCATTTTTCCCCTCCCAGTTTTACTTCTGACCAAGCACAACCAAACTTACTTTTCTTTCCACTTTTCCACCCTTTACTATATTCACCCTTGCATTTTCCCATCCTTCCAAGCATACCCTTAAGTGTAATTATAAACTGAAAATATAATTTACACTCAATAAATAGGATACATATGGCAGAAAAATTTGCAGCATCAGTGCTTCCACATCGGATATGCAATAGAATGCAATACTTTGACAATGACTCTTTCACCTGAATCCACCATGATAAATTATAGAGCGCAGCTATAAGAAAAAAAGGATTAATTTGAGACGAAAACCCTTGAAATGAATAATAAAAAAAGGAAAGAAATACTTTTAGGTCAGTCCATGTAGAGTCCTCCACTTTTTCCGACTCGGATTCTTCACCTTAAATCCCAATAGGCATAACAATTAGAAATCACAATCACAATGAAATAACAAAATACAGTATTTTTCGGTCACGCTACCTAAATAAAAAATAGTAAGAAGGGATCAAATAAAGAAGAAAAAGGTACCTGAAATGTACACCACGAAAAGCTTCTTCTGGTTCTTAGCTTCAAGAATTGCTTCAGGAATTGAGCCTTTGAATGTAATAGATGACAAAGATTCGGACCTTTCCATCTGTAATCAAACAATTAGGTTCCGAAAACTCAAAATTCGCAATTAAATGTCTCTTTCGTTATCAAAATCAAATTTGATTCACTCGAATCTTTAAGCATACACTTTCATGTGCACTTCTGTTTGTGTGTGCGTGTGTCACTCCAGAAATAAATTGAACTACCCATAATTTCTAGAAACCCTAAAAAACAACAAGCTGACAGTGCGGAAAACCCTAAATTATTTAGAACATTTAAATCATATCGAATAAAAAATATGGTGAAAATTTCTTTTTATTAAGGGAGGGATCAACGAGAAGGATCATTTAAATTAAAAGAAACGGAAACATAAAATAATTAGCCGTACCTTTGATTTAGAAACTGGAAAATCGAGTTTTACGAAGAAATCTTAAATCTAAAGAACAGAGAAACGTGGAGAAGGGACTCGAAGACTTTTAACTGTGAATATATGAAAGATAGGCAAGTCATCCTTTTAAACTCGCCGCGTGTCCACACAGCACGGAAACTTGTTTTTGCCGGTAAAACAACTTTTAGATCCCTTTTATTTTCAAAATTCGGTAAATTGGCCTCTCTCTATTAAGATGGGCAATTTAATTCTTATTGATTTTGAAAATTAGTAATTAGGGACAATTTATCACGAAATTGGATATGCATATTTCAGTGAGTAATTTAATTCTTTTTCGTACCAACTATGCACCTTGATTAAATAAGTCTATAAAATACTTAAGCAATTTGTAATTATTCATGACACTTAAACGAGATTGTACAAGCCTCAACCGATTGAAACATGTTTTTCATAACATACTTGAATAAGAAAATGAATCGAAGAGTAATCATTGATGAATAAAACAACTAATAATGGTACGTGAAGATACTAATTTTTTATCCATATTATTATTATTATTATTATTATTATTATTATTATCATTATTATTATTATTAAATATATATTAAATATATATATAATTAATTAATTACAGGCCAATTACAAATGGACCGGCTCAGTTACAAACAAACCAGAACCGGTCCAGAACAAACCAGAAACCCTAAACATTTGGGGGTTTCAGTTAGGGTTTCCTAACCCTAATCTAACCGGCCGCCTCATCACAGCCGTTGGATCTAAGAGATCCAACGGTCCAGATTGCCCCAGATGGAAACCCTAGGGTCTGATACCCTAGGGACACGCGGCCGCCGCTGCTATCTCGCCGCCTCCGCCGCTGCCACGTCCCAACCGAAGGCTCCAGAAGCTCCAACGCCAGCCGTCCACGCCATGGCTACGGGGTGAGTCACCACTGGTAGTCCGGTGACTCACCGAGACCCCATCTTCGGACCGGTCCGATGGCCACACCGGTGGTGGCTATAAAAGCCACCACCCCAACCTGATAAAAGAGAACGGAGACAGAAAAAAAAAAACGGAGAGACAGAGAACACAGAGAGACGGAGAAAAAAAAAACAGAGAAAAAAAAAAAGATATACTAAAAAATATACCAACGATCTCAGTCAACATCAACGCAGCAAGAAAAAAAAAGGAGAGAAGAGAGGAAAGAAGCTTACTCTGTCATCGGAGAACCCCAACCGTCGCCGGATACAACGAAAACCGAAGGTATTTTTGTAGATCTGCTCCGATTGGGAGCTTTTTAAGGAAAAAGAACACCGGAAACGGTTTTAGACCGTCCCGATCTATATTTTGGTGGATTTTTGTAATTTCCGGCTACCATTAACGGTGGCCGGCAGCGGTGGTCGGAGCCCGGTAGCGGTGGCTGACCGGGACGGCTTCTCTCAGTTTAGAGAGAAGCCAGAGAACTCTTCTCTCTCTGTTTGAGAGAGAAAGAAAAAAAAAGAAATGAGATAGCTGGCCCGAAGGGCCAGCCGGTTTGGGCATTAAATAGCCCTTCCCAAACGACGCCGTTTTGGGGAGGGCTATTTGTGTAATTTTATAAATGTTAAACCCTTTCCGTAATCCCTATGTTTTATATGTTTTACATTTTAGTCATTAAATTGAATTTATAATATTTTTAATTCAGTCTTCGAATTTTAATTTCTTTTATTTTAATCCTTTATATTAAAATAATATATTTAGGATAAATAACAGATTTAATCCCTTAATTTTAATAAATAATATTTTAATCCTTAGTTTATATTTTTAATTTATTTTATTCTAATATCCGAATTTTAGATAATTTTATTTTAGTCATTAAATAAATAAAATAAAGAAATAGCATGTTTAATCCCTATAATTTTGATTAATTATAAATTAGATTTTTAAATTTTATTTTTACTATAATTTAGTCATTTATTTTATATGTTTTCATTTATTTTACTGCTTTTAAAATATATTATTTTAGTGGTATTTTTATTTTATTTGTTTATATATTTATGTATTCATAAATATATATATAATAAATAGTAATTTTTAAATATAAATTTTTAATATCGAAGAAAAGGACAGTCTTAATACAACTGGATGTCATATTCTGATATTTTAAAATTAAAAATTAAACAATATTATTTAAATTAATATTTATCAATATCAAAGAAAAGAGCTGTCTTAAGGCACCTAGAAGTTCTTTTCTGATATTTTTTAAATAAATAAATATTTTTATATAATTTTGAAATAATAGGATTATAAACTAAATATATTTTTGAATTTTTAAATTTTAACAATAGAGACAATTTATAATTAAAAAGTACCAATTTTGGGCGTTGTAGGGGTGCTAATCCTTCCATAAACGTAATCGACCACGAATCCCTTTTTATTATTAAAAAGAATGAATTTTTGGTTATAAACGCAGATCAGATTATTTTTTTTAATTGATGTTTTCTTAAAATTCTTTTAAAAAATAAAAATAATTTTTAGGTATTCGACCTACCTGATCCAAAAGGCCGATGGCGACTCCCAAATTATTTTCAAAACTATTTATTCACATCAATTTCCCCGCCAAGTATAATATTTCGTGCCTGGACGAAAGCCGGTTACAACAGCTTGGCGACTCCACTGGGGACCGGTCAAACTTTTAAAAATCAATTATAAATTGTCTCTATTAATTAAAAATTAAAAGTTAATATATTTAATTTTTAATTCTTTCTTTTCAAATTTTTTATTTATTTATTATTTTTATAATATTTATATGTTTTATTTTATTTGCAAGTATTTTATTTCATTATTTATTTTTCTGTCAAAGGTTTAAATATTTCTCCTCACACACAACACTTGCATTGCATAACATAAAGCTCTATAATTGAGTTGTCCCTGTTAAGTGAGAGTGAAAGCGACGTCTTCGTGAGAATTTATTCTCCGTGTCAGACCTAGCAAGTAACTTCCGGGGTTCATATGCTCTCTGTCTTCGTGAGAATTTATTCTCCGTGTCAGGCATAGAGAAATGTATCCCCTCGAATTGAACTCGATCCACTTTAGTCTGTGATGGACTAGGATTGAGGGTTAGCAACCCAAGGGGGCACTAACAAGGACAATTCGGGTACCTTGATTCTTAGATCTGAAACCCTGCATATAAAGAACCTTAGAAACTCTTCCGATCAGAAGTCATGCCGAAATTTTGTCCAAAATAGGTGTACACACAGGAGAAATGAATTCTGACTTTCTTGTTAATTTATTTATTAATTAAATTACATGTTTATTTAAATTATTTAAATTTAGAAAAGCATGTTTAAATAAAGAATATTTATGTAAATGTTATTATTAAATTTCTTTATTATGTAAACTAATTTATTTTCTTTTTGTGTGTTCTTTATTTTTCTGTTTGCATTGCATCATACAGGATAAAAGACATTGATCCTTGTGTTAATTGTCTCATTGGAAAGCCTTCATCTATTGATAAAAAGTATTCAAATCAAGTAATTCTAAACTCAGAAGTAAGACAGTGGGCTGAGGACTTACAAAGACGAGAAGGAGACAGCCTGCAGGATGATTATGTATCTGACTTGGCCAGTTATGCTCCAGTTTCACTAAAAAGAAATGATATGCAAGATTTGCGAAGCATTTGGGAAAGTTGGGATTCAAACAAAAAATTGCAGTTTTATCAGACTTACGGTGACATCCCATATTTGCTCTATGTAGAAGTTGATGATGAATTACTCAGAGCCCTAATTCAATTCTGGAATCCAGGGTACAATTGCTTCACTCTCAATAAAGAGGATTTGGTCCCTACTATTGAAGAATACACAACTTTGCTACATATAGATGGGGCTTTGGAGAATCGAATCTATTCAAAGTCAATTAAAACTCAACCCTTTCGAGTTAAATTAGCAAAGATTGCTGGGGTACGAGAAGAATGGGTGGCATCCCGTACAAAACAAAAAGGCGAAAGTGAAGGCATCGCTTGGACCAACATTAAAGAACTTATTCAGAGTCATCCAGATATTAAAGTACGATTCGATTTATTTGCTCTGGGTATGTATGGTATCGTCATTTTCCCAAAAGTATTGGGATATGTTGAAGCTGCAGTGGTAGATTTGTTTGAACAGCTACCGAAAAAGATTAATCCTGCTTCTGCAATCCTAGCAGAGACCTTCAGATCGTTAAATGCTTGTAGAAGGTTAGGAGGTGGACGATTCTCAGGGTGTACCCAGTTGTTATATGTTTGGATCCGTAGTCATTTCTGGAGGACAGAAAAGGTTTCATACCGACGCTTTAATACGGATTACTCACCATTAAAAGAATTTCTGGAGCAGGAATGGCCGAAAGAAATTAAGAAAGATATGTGGATTAATGTCTTTCGAAATATACAAAGCAATGACGTGATTTGGCGAGCCCCGTGGCAAATCCAAAGGGAATTCTTTTACAGATGTGGAAATTACAACTGGATAATGTTGCTCGGATTATGGGGAGGAATTGGATATGCACCACTTCTGGTCATAAGACAGTATGAAGGTCGTCAATTTGTACCTGTCACTGCTGGGTTACAGTCATCTGAATTCGCATTCCACAGCAAAAATTATAAAAGAAGTATCATGGAAGCCGTTACAGCTTGGAAAACAACTTTTTGTATCCGAGCTAAAGCAGCAAAAGAAATGCTAACTCCTGATTATGAAGAATGGAGATCTGTCAGGAAAAACGAAAATATTCCTTTACCAGATCAAAATGAGGATATCTCTATGGAAGATCGCATTAAGGTGGTTCCGTCAGAGATTGAAATCTTGAGAGCTGAGTTTGAAGCAGAAAGAGAAGGCTGGTCGAAAGAATTAGAGCAAATGAGACAAGATAAAGCTATGTTGGGGGTTGACATTGAATTTCATTCATCACAATGTGCAATGTTGAGAAAAGATAAAGAAAAAGGTGAGGATGAGTACAGAGCCTTACAGAAAAATTACCAGGAGTTATATAAATCCCGGAAAGCATCAGGATCAAGCCAAGCAACAATATAGATGAATAAAGAGTTGAACATCGAGAAAAGACGAGTTGAAGATCTGAAAGGAA